TGTCTGTGTGCGTCCGTGTGTATGTATCTTTGTGTGTGTCTGTGTGCATCCGTGTGTGTGTATCTTTGTGTGCATGTGCATGCATGCTGTAGAGCTTAGAGGACAGCCTGAGGGAGTCGGTTCTCTTATCCACCATGTAGGTCCTGTGGATTAAACTCAGGTCCTCAGGCTTGGTGGCAAGTGCTCTCACCTCAGGAGTCATCTTGATGTCCCCTAATTTTTTTTTTTTTGAGACAGGGTCTATGTAGTCCTAGAACTTGCTATATCGACCAGGCTGGCCTTGAATTCACAGAAGTCTGCCTGCCTCTACCTCACAAGTACTCTAAACTGTTTTTTTAAGTTGAGATTTCATACAAATAATGATATTCTAGCTATAGAATACTTAAAAATTGTCCTGTGTTTTTACCATGAGAGTTCATGTATTATGAGGTGTTAAGTATAGTATAAAACACAAACCAATGGGATAGAGATTTAGACCATCTTGGACTGCTGTGTTTTTCTTTGTAGAGACCAGCATCAGAAGTAAAAGAGATGTCATCCAAGTTAGCAGTTATTTTTTCTTTTACTGATTTGAAGCTGGATATTTTCTGTCTTCTGTCTTTGCTAAGGGTGTAAGATGTGTGTTTGTGTGTATGTATATGTGTATATGTATGTATGTATATGTGTGTGCATGTGTGTATGTGTTCTAGTTTTTATTTTGTTTTGTTTTTTTTAAAGATTTTAATTTATTATATATACAAGGTTCTTCATGCATGTGCCCTGCATTACAGAAGAGGACACCAGATCTCATTACAGATGGTTGTGAGCCACCATGTGGGAGCTGGGAATTGAACTCAGGACCTCTGGAAGAGCAACCAGTGCTCTTTACCTCTGAGCCATCTTTCCAACCCCCTAGTTTTTGTTTTCTTGAAGCCATTTTAGAGAAATAAACTATCACTGATGTGATTAATTGAATTGTGTCCATATTTAGATGCTGAAATTCTAACCTTGGGGCCTTAAAATATGAGTGTGTTTGGATTTAGTCTTTACAGAGGCAAGGTAAGTCAAAACGAGGCTGCAAGGGTGGGCTCTAATCCAGTGTGGCTGAAGATGTTCTAGTAAGAGGCCTTTGGATTCAGATGTGTATGGAGGGAGAGCGATGTTGCAGGCCCACCGATCAGATGGCTGCCTTCAGGCCAAGTTCTAGAAGGGATCCTTTCCTCTTGTCCTGCAGAAAGACCCAGCTCTGTCAGCACCATGATCTCTGTCTTCTGACCTCCAGAACAGTGAGGAAATAAATCTGTTGTTTACATTACTCTGATGCTTTGCTGTAGTGGCCCTAGCAAGCTAATACATCAGGGTTAACAAGAGTTTTCTGTCTGCTATGTATCATGTATGCATGTGGTATATGCATGTGTGTTTATGACTCTTCTTGTTCCTTTGAGGCAGGGTCTCTCACTGAACCTGGAGCTCTTATTTTTCAGTTGGGTTTTGGCCCCAAGCCCCAGCAATCCTATCTCAGCCCATCTTAGTGCTATAGTTACAGGTGTGCCCAGGACCATGTTTAGCTTTTATGTGGGTGGTGAGAGCTGAACTCCAATCCATATGGATGCATAAGCTTGTACAAGTGCTCTTAACCTCTAAGCCATGTCTCCAGTCCCCCATATAACTAACTCTGGCATGTGTGTGTGTAGTTTGTCTTCAGATCTCTTCCATCCTAGCCACTCCACTTCACACTGTTTATCCCCTGGCCATAGTCACTGTACATACAGGGCTGGCTAGATAATTTATGAGACTAGCAATAAAGGAAAAATACTAGAAAATGTATAGTTAAATATCTTTAAGTAGTCTCTTAAAATAATCCATGTTAGGAAAAATCTTAAGAAGAGCCTCTCCACCGATGCAAAATAACTCCAATTAGACCAGATTAGACCAAATCAAAAATACCCACGTTTAATGAACACTGTGTTCTTGGGTGGCTGGGAGCATGGCGGGGTGGGGGTGGAGTAGGGGTGGGGACAAGACAGAGAGGGAGAGCACATATAAAACCTGTTCCTTTTTCTGGTGTGAGCCTTAATAGCCTGTGGGAATGGTCCTGACCCTCCCTGGGGAGGGGTCAGGGCTTGGCCGGCTTCCTGGAGATGTAGTCTGACCCAAGGCAACTCCCAGGGGCTTGAGATGGAGTGTTCTGCTCCGTTGGTGCTCCATGGGCACCCCTAGAATGGATGCCAGTGACTGGGATGACGCTTCCAATCATCCCAGACTCCTTGGATAAAGGGGTTTCAGGGGGCTGGGGTCTCACTTTCCATCAAACAGTCCAATGCTTTAAAACCTAATAGAGGACATAGTGGCCTATGAGAAATGGCATGACTATATCAGAACATTTATGCTCTTTTTTTGGGGGGTGGTTTCAAGATAAGGTTCCTCTATGTAGCTCTGGCTGTCCTGGAACTCATTCTGTTGACTAGGCTGGCCTCAAACTCACAGAGATCCACCTGTCTCTACCTCCTGAGTACTGGGATTAAAGGTATGTGCCACCACACCTGGTACATGTATGCTCTCTTTGGTGCTATAATTTTATTGTAGAGGGTGGGCCAGTTATCACTGTGACAAAATACTGTGGACAATCAACAAGAGGAAACATTTACTTTGACTCCTGGTTTTGCAGGCTCCAGTCCACGGACCCAGTGCTTTTGGCTTGTGGTAAGACAGAAAGAACATCATAGGGGGTGGGAGTAGGAGTACTTGATAGAGCAAGCTGCTCCCCTTATGATGACCAAGATGCAGACTAGGGCAGGGTCCCAGTCCCCCCTTTCTCTTAGTCACCATTCTATTGTGAAGAGACACCATGACTGTATTATAAAGGAAAACATTTAATTCGGGCTGGCTTACAATTTCAGAGGTTCAGACCATTGTCATGGTGTGGAGCACGGTAGCACACAGGCAGACTTGGGTTTGGAGAAGTAGCTGAGAGTTCTACATCTGGATCCACATGCTGGGCCTGGCGTGAACTTTTGAAACCTCAAAGCTGCAGTGACATACTTCCTTCAACAAGGCCACACCTACTCCAATAAGGCCACACCTCCTAATCCTTCTCAAGTAGTGTACCCCCTGACCACGAAGCATGTTTAACAGTATGTGCACCCCATCCCTGTAAGAGCCACCTCTTGTGATCTTCCAGCTAAGTCCTACCTCCTAAGGGCTCAGCTATCTTCAATGGTACCATGGGCTAGTGACCAGGTCTTTATCATGTGACCCTTCCAGGAAGATGAGGCCTACAGGGCTGAGAGACGAGACAACCTGGAGTCTGCTTGAGGGTCTAGCAACAGATGCTGTTAGAGGTCCTGATGGTCCCTAGCCAATGAGGTGTGACCATGCGATGTCAACGGATTGGAATGCAGCCTGGGTGCTGGGAGGAGGGTATGAAAGTCTCTCCCCATTGCTGAATAAACAAGTCTGCTGTCGGCCTGACTCCAAGTGTCTATGTTGTTGACACTGCCCCTTCTCACCCCGTCCCCCAATGAACCTGTTAGGACCCAGCTCCAAGTGACTACCTTTCATTAATGTGCTGCCTTTCTTGGTGCTGAGGATCCAACTCAGGGCCTCATAAATGCCAAGCAAGTCCTTTACCAACCAAGGTACATCCCGCTTGTTAATGGGATCTGCTATCCATACTGTATTCCTGGAGGCCCTAGCTGCTTCTAGTTGGCTTTAGAGGCCACAGCTGAGTTCTGTCCCGTGTATTCGAAGAGTCCTGTTGATACAGTCCCATCTTTAAGTTGTAGGGCATGCAGGATGGAGGAAGGCCTCAGAGAGCCAAGAAAATGAACAGAGAGACCCTTTGGGGGCCACTAGCATCCCGCTTGTCCCTGACTGCAGCCACACTCCTTTCCCAGTGTGACCTCACAGAGCCCGGATTCCACAACATCCTGGAACTCAGTGTTGTTTCTATGCTGTGTCTGCGAGAAACCCAGGAGAATGGCTCCCCCTTGATGGTGTGCTGGCTGTGGCAAAGATGAGCAACACTGTGTTCTTCTCCTTTGTACTCTTCCTGGGCAGCCAGTGGGGCGCAGAGCCCCACTCTATCCCTGTGACTGAAGGTACCATCACAAGTATATTGTCATGGCCCCTGGAGGGATGGAAGACTCGCAGGGAGCCTCAGCCAGGCCGGCTAGTGGGCCCCTCCTGCCGAGGCTGGGATGGTGAGCCCTCCTCCTATCCTATTTTCTCTACTTTCCTCAGTTCACCATGAGGCTGGATTCCTTGGGGGAAGGGAATATCTTAAGGGAAGGTTTCCTTTTTGTTTTGTTTTCTGATCCACCGAGTTTATCTACCTGTGACGTATCCTCAAATCCGAGAGCTTCGTAAGACTATCCTGTACTCAGAAATGTCAGCTCTTCATTATAAAATATTTTCAAACATTTCGGAAGTAGAACGATCAATAGAGAGAACAATTATACACAAATCATTCCAATCTTATCTACACATATTTTAAAAATTAGTATATACTGACCTGGGTGTGGTGGCACATGTCTTTGATTCCAGTACTCGGGAAGACCTTATCTCCCCTTCCACGGGGGAACCATGTCAGTCTCTCTTAGGGGTCTCCTTGTTCCCCAGTTTCTCTGGGGTCTTTAACTCTAAGCTGGTTATCCCTTACTTTACATCTAATATCCACTTACGAGTGAGTGCATACTGTGTTTGTCTTTCTGGGTCTGGGTTACCTCACTCAGGATTTTTTTTCTAGTTCCATCCATTTGAATGAAAATTTCAAGATGTCATCATTTTTTTTCTGCTGTGTAGTCCTCCATTGTGTAAATGGACCACATTTTCCTGATCCATTCTTCAGTTGAGGGGCATTTAGGTTGCTGTCAGGTTCTGGTTATTATGAATAATGCTGACAGGAACATAGTCGGGCACATGTCCTTGTGGTATGATTGGGCATCCCTTGGGGGTATATGCCAAGTGGTATTGCTGGGTTTTGAAGTAGATTGATTCCCAATTTTTTGAGAAACTGACATTATGATTTCCAAAGTGGCTATACAAGCTTGTACTCCCACCAGCAATGGAGGAGTGTTTTTTTTTTTTTACTTTACTCCACATAATAAGTTATCATCGGTGTTTTGATCTTAGCTATTCTGACTGGTGTAAGATGGTATCTCAGAGACACTTTGATTTACATTTCCATGATGGCTAAGGACACTGAGCAATTCCTTAAGTGTCTTTTGGCCATTTGAGATTCTTCTGTTGAGAATTCTGTTTAGATATGCACCCCATTTTTAATTAGATTATTTGATATTTTATGTCCAGCTTCTTGAGTTCTTTATATATTTTGGAGATCTGACAGACCCCCTCTGTCAGATGTGGGGTTGGTAAAGATCTTTTCCCATTCTGTAGGCTGCCATTTTGTCTTATTGATGTGTCTTTTGCCTTACAGAAGCGTCTCAGTTTCAGGAGGTCCCATTTATTTATTGTTGCTCTCAGTGTCTGTACTACTGGTGTTATATTTAGGAAGTGGTCTCCTGTGCACATGTGTTCAAGGGTAGTCCCCACATTCTCTTCTACGAGGTTTAGTGTAGATGGATCCATGTTGAGGTCTTTGATCCATTTGGACTTAAGTTTTGTGCATGGCAGTAGATATGGATCTATTTTCATTCTTCTACATGTTGATATCCAGTTATACGAGTACCATTCATTAAACATGCTTTCTCTTTTTCCATTGTATAATCTTTGCTTCTTTGTCAAAAATCAGGTGTTCATATGTGTGTGGATTAATATCATAGTCTTTAGTCTTCGATTCAATTCCATTGATCCACCTGTCTGTTTTATGCCACCTGTATTATGCCAAATACCAAGCTGTTTTCATTAGTATAGTTCTATAGTAGAGCTTGAAGCCAGGTATGGTGATGCTTCCGGATGTTCTTTTCTTGTACAGGATTGTTTTGGCTATTCTAGGTTATTTGCTTTTCCATGTGAAGTTGAGTATTGTTCTCTTGAGGTCTGTGAAGAATTGTGTTGGGATTTTGATGGGGTTGCATTGAATCTGTAGATTGCTTTTGGTAAGATTGCTATTTTACTATGTTGATCCTACCTATCCAAGAGCATGGGAGATCTTCCCATTTTCTGATATCTTCTTCAGTTTCTTTCTTCAAAGACTTAAAGTTCTTTTTGTACAGGTCTTTCACTTCTTTGGTTAGCATTACCCCAAGATATTTTGTGTTATATGTGGCTATTGTAAAGGGTGATGTTTCTCTGATTTCTTTCTCAGCCCTTCTATCATTTGTATATAGGAGGGCTACTGATTTTTTTTGAGTTGACCTTGTATCCTGCCACATTACTGATAATGTTTATCAGCTGTCGGAGTTCCTTGGTAGGATTTTTGGGGTCACTTATATATACTATCATATCATATACAAATAGCGAAAGTTTGATTTCTTCCTTTCTAGTTTGTATTTACTTGATCTCCTTTTGTTGTCTTATTGTTCTAGCTAGAACTATGAGTACTATGTTGAATAGATATGGAGAGAGCGGACAGCTTTGTCTTGTTCCTGATCTTTGTGGAATCACTTTGAATTTCTCCCCATTTAATTTGATGTTGGCTGTTGTCTTGCTGTATACTGCTTTTTATTATGTTTAGATATGGTCCTTCTATCCCTGCTTTCTCCAAGACCTTTATCATGAAGGGATGTTGGATTTTTGTCAAGGGCTATTCAGCATCTAATGAAATCATCATATTTTTTCTTTCAATTTATTTATATGGTGGGTTACATTGATAGATTTTTAATATGTTGAACCATCCCTGCATCTCTGGGATGAAGCCAACTTGATCATGGTGGGTGATTTTTGATTCACCATGTCCATGTTCTTGCGTAAAGCACAGCGTCTGCTCTCCGCCTGTTCTGAGTGCTCTGTGCTACGCCGTGCTATGGTCTTGTAGCGTCCATGCTATTATGTATGCTATATTACTACGCCTGTAGAGCGGAGCCTGCACTACAAGATGGGTTTGTTCCTTGAGTCAGGAGAGGGGCCTGGAGATTTAAACACATGCACACACAGACAGAGACACGGGTCATCCTTGAAACAAGACTGCCAAGAATGCCAACTTTATTGCGTTCCAGGGGCAGCTTATATAGTGCTCTGGCCACGCCCCAGCTCTTGGGATCTTTCAGCTGCGGCCACCAGAATCCACTCCTCTGTCTAGTGCTCAGGGCAGCTGCAAGTAAAGAAAAACAAGTTGTTTTGCTCAGAGCAGCTGCAAGCAAGTTGTGTACAGGAAATTCAGGGTCTGGGGGTCCACAGCCTCCAACATTCTTGGATTTGATTTGCCAGTATTTTATTGACTATTTTTGCATCAATAATTTTGTTCATGAGGGAGACTGCTCTGTAATTCTCTTTCTTTGGTGAGTCTTTCTGTGGTTTGTGTATCACAGTAACTGTAGCCTCAGAAAGAGAGTTTGGCAACATTCCTTCTGTTTCTATTGTGTGAAACAATTTGAGGAGTATAGATATTAACTCTTCTTTGAAGTTCTGGTAGAATTCTGTGCTGAAACTATCCATCCCTGGGTTTTTTTTTTCTTTGTTGTTGTTGTTGGGAGACTTTTGATGACTGCTTCTCTTTCCTTAGGGGTTATAGGACTATTTAAATTGTTTATCTGGTCTTGATTTAATTTTGGTCTGTGGTTTGCGTCCGTTTCTTTTAGATTTTGTGGAGTACAGGTTTTTGAAGTATGATCTAATGATTCTTTGGATTTCCTCAGTGTCTGTCATTATGTCTTTTTCATTTCTGATTTTGTTAATTTGGATATTCTCTCTCTGCCTTTTGATTAGTTTGGATAAGGGTTTTGTCCATATTATTGATTTTCTCAAAGTTCTTTGCTTCACTGATTCTTTGTATTGCTTGCTTTCTTTCTGTTGTATTGACTTCAGCCCTCAATTATTTCCTGTTGTCTACTCCTCCTGGGTGAGTCTGCTTCATTTTGATCTAGAGTTTACAGGTGTGCTGTTAAGTAGCTAGTGTGAGATTTCTCTATTTTCTTTATGTCGTTATTTAGTGCTATGAACTTTCCTTTCATTGTGTCCCATAAGTTTGGGTATGTTGTGTGGCCATTTTCATTGAATTTTAGGAAGTCTTAATTTCTTTATTTCTTCCTTGACCCAGGGGTGATTCAGTTGAGCGTTGTTAAATTTCCATGAGTTTGCAGGCTTTCTGCAATGAGTGTTGTTGAATTCTAACTTTAAGACATGGTGATCTGATAAGATACAAGTGGTTACTCTAATTTTTTGTATCTTTTGAGATTTGCTTTGTTACCGAGTATGTGGTCAATTTTAGAGAAGGTTCCAAGAGATGCTGAGAAGAAGGTTTATTCTTCTGTGTTTGGGGAAAATGTTCTATAGATGCCTATTAAGTTCATTTGAGCCATGATATCTGTTAGTGTCTTATTTCTCTGTTAAGTTTCTGCCTGGTAGACCTGTCTACTGGTGAGAGTAAGAGTGGGGTGTTGAAGTCTCGTACAGTTAATACATGAGGTTTGATGTGAGATTTAGGCTTTAGTAAGTTTCTTTTGTGTATGTGGGTGCTCTTGGATTTGTGCATAGATGTTCACAATTGAGACTTCATCTTGATGGATTTTTTCCTGTGATGAGTATGAAGTGTCCTTCTCCATCTCTTTTGATTGATTTTAGTTTGAAGTCTACTTTGTTAGATATTAGGATAGCTACACTTGCTTTTTATTAGGTCCATTTGATTGGAATGTCTTTTCCCAGCCCTTTGCTGAGGTAATGTCTGTCTTTGAGGTTGAGGTGTTTCTTGTATGCAGAAGGATGGATCCTGTTTTCGTATCCATTCTGCTAACCTGTGTGTTTTTTATAAGTGAATTGAGTCCATTGATATTAAGGGATATTAATGAGCAGTGATTGTTAATTCCTGTTATTTTTTGGTGGTAGTGTTTTTGTGTTTCCTTTCTTTGGGGTTTTCTGGTGTGAGGTTATCTGTTGTCTGTGTTTTTGTGGGCGTGGCTAACTTCCTTGGGTTGGAGTTTTCCTTCTAGTACTTTCTGTAAGGCTGGATTTGTGGATAGGTATTGTTTAAATCTTGTTTTGTCATGGAATATCTTGTTTTCTCTGTCTATGGTGATTGAAAGCTTTGCTGGGTATAATAGTCTCTGCTTGGGTCTGTGGTCTCTTAGTGTCTGCAACACATCTGTCCAGGCCTTCTGGCTTTTAGGTTTCCATTGAGAAGTCAGGTATATTCTCAGAGGTCTACCTTCATATGTTACTTGGTCTTTTTCCTTTGCAGCTCTTAATATTATTTCTTTAGTGTTCTGATTATTATATGGCAAGAGGACTTTTTTTTTTCATCCAGTCTATTTGATGGTCTGTAAGCTTCTTGTACCTTCATAGTCATATCGTTCTTTAGGTTTAGAAAGTTTTCTTCTATGATTTTGTTGAATATATTTTCTATGCCTTTGAGTCAGAGTTCTTCTCCTCCTTCTATCCCTATTATTCTTAAGTTTGGTCTCTTCATGATGTCCAGATTTCCTGGATGTTTTGTGTTAAGAATTTGTGGGATTTAACATTTCCTTGGATTGATGAATCTATTTCCTCTCCCATCTCTTGTAATTCTCTCTTCTGTCTCTTGTAATCTGTTGGTAATGCTTGCATCTGTAGTTCCTTCTCGTTTATCCAGATTTCCATTTCCAGAATTCCCTTGGTTTGTGTTTTCTTTACTGTCTCTATTTTAGTTTTCAAGTCTTGAACTGTTTGCACTGTTTTCTTCATCTTTTGATTGTTTTGTCTTGATTTTTCTTGGTTATCTTTAAGAGATTTATTGATTTCTTCCGTTTTTTTGTTTGTCTTTTCCTTAAGGGAATTTTTCATTTTCTCTTTAAAAGTTTCTATCATCTTCATGAAGTTATATTTAAGGACATTTTCTTCTGCTTCTTCTGTGTTAGGATGTTCAGGTCTTCCATTTGTAGGACCACTAGGTTCAGGTGTTGCCATATTGTTTTTTAGGGTGTTGAATGTATTCTTGCATTGGCACCTACCCATCTCTTCCTCCAACTGGTGCAGGTGGGGCCTGTGACTTAAGTGGTCACTCTTCCTCCTGGTGCAGGCTGGGCTGTGACTCTGGGGGTTCTTCTCCAGGTGCAGTCAGGGTGAAGGCTCCGGTGGTCAGAGATGTGGTGGGGGATGGTTGCGGGTATGGGGAGGCTGCTTCCAGGTCTCTCCACGCAGAAGTTTTTAAATGACGACCTTAGAGAGATTTCATCAACAATAAAAGTTGCCTGTTGGCTTGAGCTCATGAAATTCTTTTTCATTTCGTCTTCATTATTGTTGTTATGGCCATGAGTTCGAGACCAGGCAGGGCAACATAGTAACTAACACCTAACTGCAAAAAAGAAAAGGAAAAAAAGAAAAGAAAATTATGCCTGAAAAGCAATATAGTCGTGTGTGTGGTGTTTAGTGTATAAACAGTAGTGAATCACTATTACCTATTTTAGAATGTTTTCATTACCCCTAAAAATGACTTTGTGGTCCTTAGTAATTACCTCCTTTCTTCTTTACCCCTAATCTTAGGGAAGGCTCAGTCTGCCATCTGTTCTGTGGGCTTTCTATTCCTGATACTCCCTGTAAACAGAATCGCATGACGTGTGGGCTTTGTGCCTGCGTCCTTTCCCTTAGCACATTCCCAGGTCCATTCATGTAGCAGGTGCTGCTCTGCTCCTTCCCAGGACTGAATGACCTTCTGCTGCCTTGTTTACCTGCTTGTTCAGTCAGCTGATGGACATTGGGGCTGTTCTCATATTTTGGCTTTCATTTATTAAGTTGTTACGGACATAGATTTTTCAAAGCAAATGCCAGGTTTCCTTCCTTGGTGTTTATGGTCTTGCATCATTTGGAATCAACCTTGCTGTTTGCTATTGTGGGATGTTTTACTCTTTTGGCTTTTACTGGGGGGTTCCACTACCCAGCTCTCAAATAAATCACACACGGAGGCTTATGCTTAATTATGAATGCCCAGACGTAGCCTGGCTTGCTTCTTGCCAGCTTTTCTTGACTTATATTATCCCGTCTACCTTTTGCCTCTGGGCTTTTAACTTTCTCTATTTCTATATACCTTCCTTTCCTTCTTACTCTGGGTGGCTGGGTGGCTGGGTGGCTGGGTGGCTGGGTGGCTGGGTGGCTGGGTGGCTGGGTGGCTGACCCCAGATATTCACTACTCCTTGTTCTCATGCTCCTTTCTCCTTGTTTCTCCTTTTATCCTCTCTGCCGGCTAGCCCTGCCTGTCCTTGCTCCTGCCTCGCTATTGGCCGTTCATCTCTTTATTAGGACCATCAGGTGTTTTAGACAGGTAAAGCATGACAGCTTCACAGTTAATCAGATGCAGCATAAACGAAAGTAACACACCTGAAAACAATATTAACCAACAGTTTGCTAGACCAATTGGCTGACCACAGTCCTCAGACTCCTCTCTGGGTAAAGTTCCTGGGTCTATGAGGACTTAGATCCTAGAATTTTAGTGGATGACACTCCAGACTTGGTCCCCAACAGTTAAGTATACCAGAGTCCTCAGAAAGGCATCACCTGCCGCGGAAGACAAATGCAGCATTGTTTCTACAGCTTGAGGGAAGCATTGCTCTCATTCATGTGTGTGTGTGTGTGTGTGTGTGTGTGTGTGTGTGTGTGTCTGGGGCATGTGTTCCCTGGTATATGGAGGTCAGAGGACAGTTTGCAGGGGTAGGTTCTCTTATCTTACTATGTGGAACCTGGAGGTTGAACTTGGGCCGTTAGGCTTGACCGTGGCATCTTCATCTGACCAGACATCCTGCTGACGCCCTGGGAGGCATTATTTTAAGTGGTGGGACTTGCAGTCAGAATGACAGCTGGAAAAGAGGAGAAAGAAAGTACTCTTTTCAGGATACGCAAAAATACATAGGTGAGTGGCTCAGCGGGTAAAGTGCTTGCCTTGCAACCCTGATGGCTTGGGTTCAATCCCCGGGACCCACATGAAGATTGGGAGTAGAGAGCCGACTCCACAGTGTTGTTTAATGACTTCTACACACACACACACACACACACACACACACACACACCATGTCACAATGCATACACTATATACATAGACACAATAATAAAGTGTTTCTAAAAATGTAAAAATATTCACAATTGCTGGTTGACCTTGTACCAGCTCTTCTTGCCTCTCCTGCCTCTCCGAGAAACACAAGCACTGTTTCTCTTACTTTCTAGAAAGCCATGTACCTGGAAGCAGTGTCCATGTGAAGATCTGACTGCCATTCATGTGGGATGGGATGTGTTTGTAGATGAGGTGTAGTATGCTTGGGGCTTCAGGTCCAATCCTGAGCACCCTCAAGACAGGCCATGCAAAGAAGGAGTATTGATTTAAAGACATTACAGTGGTCCCCTATGAACTCCTGGGTTTGCTTTCCATAATTTATGTTACATGTCTGAAAATGCTAAATGCAAAATCCCAGAGACAAACAGTCCATAAACTTGAAATTTGCACACTGTTCCGTGTAGCCTCAGTGGAATTTGGTGCCTTCTTGCTCTTTCCTGCCTACGGCGGGAATTATTGCTTTGTCTGATGTATCCACCCTGTGTAAGCTGCCTGCCCTCTGTCACAGAGTCATTTGGGGGCCCAGATGCCACAGACTTGTGTTCAAGCAACCCTCGTTGTCTGACTCTCCTTATTTTGTTTACATTTGTTAATTTATTTTGTGTGTGCATGTGTGGGGGTCAGAGGACGACTTCTAGAAGGCAGTTCTCTCCTGTGGGTCCCAGGGGACAAACCCAGGTCATCCAGCTTGGTGGCAAGTTTCTCATTTACCCACTGAGTCATCTTGGTGGGGGGGGCTGCTTGTCCTCTTAACAAAGGCCTAAAGCCCCTGTAGTGTTGCGGTCGATTTAAATTCGCCGGAGAAAAGAAAGAAAACGCATCTTTTAAGTGATAAGACAAATGTTCTCGACTGTAGGAAGAAAGGAACTGAATGTTGAGGTTGATCTGATGTACAGTTGGGACGAACTGAACTCAGGCCTTGTGTTCTACCACTGAACTTGGGTCTCAGCCCCAGGGTGGGTCTTCTGTTCATGCGATTATGAAGAAAGCAAACAAAATTTGTGCCTGTTTGGTTTTATACCGCAGACGTCAAGAGTTATAGCCACCATGCATGATAAGTAAAAGTTAGAAAATGAAAAAGACAGTATATGTACATATGAAAAAAAAATCCGTGGGCTTTGGGACTGCCCTCAGGTTCAGGGAGCCACTGGAGTCTTGGGATGTATCCTGTGTGGTGGGGTGATACATAGAGATGGAAGTTACTTATTTATCTTTGAGTCAGTGGTCACGTCATCCAAGCTGGCCTTGAACTTGCTCTGTAGGCAAAGTTGGCCAAGAACTATCCTTCCTGATTCAACCCCTAGGTATTAGGCTCGAAGGTGTGCACCATTGTGCCTGCCTGACTGGGGAAAGGTTTAATCGTAGTCTCTTGTTTCTCCCACAGGTGTGGTGAGCAGCTTTTCCTCCAGTTCAAGGCACTTTGAGGAAGATTTGGCTAAACTATTTGGTAAGTCGTCCTGCGGAACCCGGGTCTGAAATTTAAAGAAGTCACTTGCTTGTCCCAGGTCACTTGTTTCTGGTGGCTTGGGTAGGCGGGAATGCAAGTGTTCTGCCTTGTGACTGAGAATCGGTTCCTCTAAATGTTCAGGTGCCAAAACGATTAGGCTAACAGGGCGATAAACCAAAGCTTGGTAAAGTTGCTGCTTTTCCAAAGTGGGTAGGTGGTAGAGTCAGCAGTGCCATCTGGAAGTTCCCTGAGGCAGTGACCCACCTCAGCCCTCCACGTCATGCCTGTCTGAATAATTTCTGCTTAGCAGAGAGTGTGAGGCCCCAGGCTGAGCTGGGAACCACCAGGGGGATATTAAAGAACCCTTTTCCAAGGTCTCGGTATTAGACTTAGGGGAGGGGCCTTTTTAGGGCATTGGGAGTCAAACCAGAGCCACACGCTTGCTAGGTAAGTATGCTACTCTGAGCTAGAGCCCCAGTCCTGTAAAGCCTAGGTGTTTGTTGCTTTTGTTTAGAGACAGGGTCTCACTGTGTGTTCCTGGCTGACCTCCTACTCAGAGATCTATCTGCCTCTGCCTCCCAGTTGCTGGGACTAAAGGTATGAACTAAAGATACAGTGGTCAAGTTGTAAAGCAGTCTGGGGGACTCCAGGCTGGGGATTGCTGATGTCCTACAAGTCCAGGAACCAGAGGCTCAGGGAACAGTTCTGAACCACAGCAGTCTGCTAAGGAAGCAGAGGGGTGACAGAAACACCCCACTTCTGCAGAGTGGAGGTTTTTAGCACGTTCTGTGGACAGCCCTTCCTGGCAGGGCTCACTTCTTCCTCCTGAGGTCTGCCTGCTTGGGTCCAGCCTTTTTTCTTCTCTCCTCAGCCCAACTCTGGTTTTGCTGTTCTTTGTAGACATGTTGGTATGTCTGGTCATGTCTGATCATGTCTGGTATACCCTTGTACATGTCTAGATGACCCAGTGACACAAGCCAAGGGTTCTTTACTTTCCCTTGTCAAAGTAGCTCGGGCTAGAGCCCTTTGCTTTGAGATCATAAGGACTGTTCCTGACGATTGTGTCTCTGGGCCACAGGATGGTTGCTTCAATTCCAGGCATCACATCCAGACATCCTTGTTCCCAGGCTTGAGTAAGAAGACATAGAGAAGTGCAAGCCCAGCATTTTAAAATTTTCTATCCAAGCTGGGCATGGTGGTGCACGCCTTTGAACCCAGTACTTAGGAAGCAGAGGCAGACTGGTCTCTGTATGTTTGAGGCTAGCCCGGTCTCCATAGTGAGTTCTAGGACAGCCAAGGGTATATACTGAGACCCTGTCTCAACCACAATGAAAGAAGGAATACATCTTTGTCTAGAGAAGCAATGCTCTTTCTGGGTCTCAGTTGTCTTTTGAGGATCTCTCTGTGTTGGGTGGCCTTGCCCTGTCTGCCAGGGAGGGTGGGAAAGGAAGTTTCTTTGGGGATGTGGCCTTCGAGGCTTCAACCACAGACTAGATGCAGAAGGAGGTGAGAACATCTTGAGAGGGAAAAGCGTAGAAGCCGTGACTGAGAATTCGCTCTTCTGTCCTATGTGAATGACACCTTGGTTTCCTGTGTGTCTCCCCCCCGCCATTCTTGTCCCCATATTCCACAGAGCGGTTCAGGGACCGTGTTCCCCAGCTGCTCCGGGGTTGATGGTGTACGAATTGGTGGTGAGGTATCTGGCCCTGGGCACAATCTTCACACTGACCCCGTGTTCAGGGCCTTAAAGACATCAATTTCCACAAAGTTCTCTGAGTTAAATCCTCCCCACCCCCTGCTGCTGATGGCACCAAAGATCTAAGAGGTGAAAGTTATCACCCCAGGTCATGCTCTGGCAGGCATCAGACTGGGATTTGGCTCTGTGCCTATTGGCCCTGAAATTAGAGAGTGCTTCATAGCGTTAAGTAAAGGAAAAGGGGAATGGCATAGGTTGTTGGTTCATGAAAAGAGCTGACATGTAATTGCCTTCAGGAATGAGGTTTGTTAGGAGGAAAGGCCTCCGACCACAAGAAGCCTCGCTGCTGGAGAGCATTAGAAAGGAGCCATATAGCTCAAAATCGTATAGCTGCTTAAAACCAGCACAATGGGCCTGAGGGCAGACTTCACCTTTAAAACCTCATGGGGCTCGGGTTAGAAGGCTTGTTAGTTATTATTTAGTGCTGTGATAAAAAATGGTGACCCGAAGCTGCTTAGGAAAGAAAAGGGTTTAATTCAGCTTATGGTTCACGCGGAATAGAGACGATAATGGCAGAGAGGGCCTGGCAGTAGGGGCAGGAAGCTGGCTGACGACACATATGTCCACAAACAGGAAGGAGGTCACGCATAGGCACATGAGCTCAGTGTGCGTACACACACACACACACACACACACACACACACACGATTGACCAGAAAGCGGGGTAAGGCTTTAAACCCTCCAAACCCAGTCATTCAGTTCCTTTAGCAAGTCTCTACCCCCTAAAACTGTGATTCTGGCAACTCTCTCTCTCCAAAAAATATTTACACTATGATTCATAATGTAGCAAAAGTACGGCTATGAAATAGTAATGAAAATATATGGTTGGGGCCACCACCATACATAATACAGTACCATGAGGAACTGTATTAAAGGGTTGCAGCATTAGGAAGGCTGAGAACCACTGTTTCTATAATCTCCCCAAACAGCACCCCTAACTGAGACCATCACACACACAGGCCTATGCGAGGCATTGCTAATGTAACCACAGCAGAGGGATAGCTTAAAGCAAGAGAAAGAAAGTCACGGTGACAGGATGATGGGGAGGCCCAGAAGAGAGAGTCTTTAGAGAAATCCCGTCACTAAAGAAACCTTGCTTTTATATCAGGTCAGCGTGTATGCTTGCGTGGTAGGAAGTTCTACTCATGTGATTTAGTCTTGGTATAACCTATATAGCAGGGAGCCAGGTACTGGTTTGATCCATTCAAAAATCATAGCACAGCAAGGGGTAAGATAGCACCTTAACTTTTCATCCCAAGGTAGATCTGGAGAAGGTGGGGTTTGAGGGGATTGGTAAAGGGTGGTGTGTGTGTGTGTGTGTGTGTGTGTGTGTGTCTGGGGCATGTGTTCCCTGGTATGTGGAGGTCAGAGGACAGTTTGCAGGGGTAGGTTCTCTTATCTTACTACGTGGAACCTGGAGGTTGAACTTGGGCCGTTAGGCTTGACCGTGGCATCTTCATCTGACCAGACATCCTGCTGACGCCCTGGGAGGCATTATTTTAAGTGGTGAGACTTGCAGTCAGAATGACAGCTGGAAACGAGAAGAAAGAAAGTACTCTTTTCAGGATGCGCAAAAATACATGGCAACAAGGTCTCAAATGAAGAACTGATACATGTCTTGTAGAGATAAGAAAGGGTTTTTGCTTATAGCTGGGGCAGCTTGGGCACAGTCCCAGAGGTAGGTCAGAATGACACCGGGACCCGGAAGAAAACCAGACGTGGGGCAGAGTTTCTCGCCATCTGGGCTTGGTGGGTGGTGCTCTCTGCCTGGGAGATCTGGTGCGCTCCTGAGTTTGCAGTTGTGATGGCATCTTAGAGCTGAGCATCCTGCGTCCACCGAGTCTGAGTCGTCCCTTCACGCATCCGTGGACACGCTAGGCAGGCGCAGAGCGGGATACACCTCGTGTGCTGCTGGTGTTGACGATTTTGCTTGCTCCTCTTCAGATGAGATCCTGCTGCAGGTGTTTCCCAGCAATCTAGATGACCTGTCAAAAGATGCGAGAACAGCTGGCAGAGACGCGAACGAAAGCAAGTATCTGTCGATGGATTCAAAGTGCATGTGTTTTCACGGGTGGCGGCGTTCAGTTGGCTGTGCCGTGCCTGGAGCATCCCAGAATCCAGCTATGGGTGGGGCTGAGATGCGGAAGAAAGAGAAATCAGAAACCCTCCCTGTAGCTTTCAATATCTGTGGGGTCTGTGCCTTAAAGTGTGCCTCTTAATTATCATTATCCTCATCATTATCATTATTAATATGATCCCTGTTGTGTGCATTCAGGCAGGTTCTATCACCGTGGATGTCATGCAAAGGATGGAATCTAATTTTCAATGGGGCTCACTGTTCTGGTCACCCAAGCTAGGCATAGTGTTACAACTTTCTTCTCGTCCACACTTTACAGCTTACTGTCCAGGAGTGCCCAAGTGACCGTCTCGGGTGCAAAGCCTTCTCACACACTCCCTCATCACCCCAGCCCTGCCTCGGCCATTGTAAACTATTTGCCCAGAGCAGCACAGCTGATTTCTCTGTTAACACCCATGCTCGAATGCTAAAGCTAAGAGAAAACAGCTGGCCACATACACGAAACAGAGCCATATAAAACCCCTTGTGCACATTAGCCCTAAATCATGAGGATAACAGAGAAGGCCCTCTCCATTAAGAGGGAGATTGAGAATGGGTCATTGCTTATCAAAATAAAGCCAGAAACATATGCTGTGTTGAAACTACACTCTAAGCAAAGCAGTTTTGTAACTAATGATCCTGCCAATGCACTTCTCGATGGCCATTCAGTAAAGGCACAAATGTGAATACTTTTTTCTGCCTAATCCTGTTAGCTTGCTCTGCAGGGGGTTTTTTATTATGTTCCCTTAGTTGATACAATATGTCATGTCTTCAGCAAAATGCTTAAGGATTAAATGTAGTGGCCCTAATGACTCTTCCAGGTCTCTTTAGTAGAGAATTGTGCCTTTGTCCTTGATTGGCTCAAAGCAGCTCTGCTTGACGTCATTTGGCACCCACTACCCAGGTCCTTCTACCAAGTTGTTTCTGCAGTTAGAGCTGTTGTGTGCACACAAATAACGTAGTGACTGGGCATCCTCCTCCTGCCTCAGTGTCTTGGGCACCATAATAGACGGTATCCTTTTTAGAGGCTCAAGCCAACATAAATCCTTTCTCCCTTAAGGTGTTAAGCTGTTCTCCCAAAGTAATTTTCCCACAGCATCGAGAAAGTGGCTAAGACACCGATTACACAACTGTTCCTCTCGAAGTGCCTTGCAGGGGAGTGGGGCTTCGTAGAGACGAGGTGTAGAATTGAGGACAGATTTCAGCAGAGCTAAAATTTGTTTTCCCGCAGCTCGCGTCCTTCCGAACAGCTTCAACCACTCTGAATTTGCATCGAGTTCACATTTGGCTCAGTTGTTTGGTAAGTCACCTCCCCCTGTGAAAGCTTTAGGATGTATTTGAGGAACTCTGCTTGCCCTTGGCTGTCTTTTAGGGAACTCGTTCCTGCTGCTTCAAAGGCAAGGTAAGCATGGTTGTTGCTTGTCTTGTGGCTAGAGTCGGTTCCTCTGTCGGAGTTCCAAGAAAACCAACAGAAAGCAGAATGCAAACACCGGGAAAGGACCCCCGCTTCTCAGAGGGTGCCAGATGGTGGTAGCGGGGTAGAGAGAGTGGGGATAGGCTGGGAGATTGAACCTGGCCGCCCACCTGGGTGCTTACGCCGCCGCTGTGGGGGAAGACCTTCACGTTAGAGTTTTCAAAGTGCCACCTCATTGCTCTTCTCGGAAACTCTTGCTGTGTTTTTGAGAAAAGGGAAGATCCAGATGGAACTTGACAGGGTGGGAGAGCTCCAGGAATCTGTACCTTTACCCAAATAGAAGCAGAGCCGGCAAAAACTGCCTATTTTCTTTCCCTTTCTTTCTTTCTTTCTTTCTTTCTTTCTTTTTTATTTTTTTTTAATTTATTTATAAGAATTTCCACTTCCTCCCCTCCTCCCAATACCCTCCCGCTCCCCCCACTCCCTCTCCTCCTTCCTCTCTAGTCCCAAGAGCAGTCAGGGTTTCCCCGCCCTGTGGGAAGTCCAAGTTCCTCCCCCCTCCCTCCAGGTTCAGAAAGGTGAGCATCCAAACAGACCAGGATCCCAAAAAACCAGTACATGAAGACGAAACAAGACCCAGTGCCATTGTCAATGGCTTCTCAGTCAGCCCCCATGTCAGCCACATTCAGAGAATCCGGTTTGATTACATGCTTGTTCAGTCCCAGTCCAGCAGGCCTTGGTGAACTCTCATTCGATCAGTCCCCTTGTATCAGTGGGTGAACGCACCCTTCGCGGTCCTGACTTCCTTTTTCATGTTCTCCCTCCTTCTGCTCTTCATTTGGGCCTTGGGGGCTCAGTCCAGTGCTCCAATGTGGGTCTCCGTCTCTATCTCCATCCATCGACGGATGAAGGTTCCCTCTGGTTCTGCCTTCCTTGCTCACGTTCTCCCTCCCTCTGCTTCTCATTTGGACCTAGGGAGTTAAGTCCAGTGTTCCAATGTGTGTCTCTGTCTCTATCTCCATCCATCGCCAGATGAGGGTTCTATGGTGACATGCAAAATATTCATCAGTATGGTTATGGACCAAGGCCTCTTTCTTTCTTTCTTTCTTTCTTTCTTTCTTTCTTTCTTTCTTTCTTTCTTTCTTTCCTTTTCTTTTCTTTTCTTTTCTTTTTTTGGAAGCTCTTGTTTTGTTTTGTTTTGTTTTGTGACAGGGTTTCTCTGTGTAGCCTTGGCTGTCCTAGAACTTGCTCTCTAGACCAGGCTGGTCTTGAACTCACAGAGATCTGCCTGCCTCTGCTTCCCAGTGCTGGGATTAAAGGCGTGCGCCACCACTGCACGGCGAGAAGCTCTTTATAAGTATTTTCTCTGAAGGGCAGAAAGTTTGACATTCAAAAATAAAATCTTCAATTATACAAACCTATTTAATCTTTAGCATTTATATTAACTAGTATACCAAGAGAATGTTATAATGTGAATTTTTTTCTTACAATATATTTTGATTATATTCTTTATCCTTTTCTAACTCCTCCTAGACCCCCCCCTTCCTATCCACTCAACCTCATGTTCTTTTTCTCTCATAAATAAAAATCCCAAACCAACACATACACACACACACACACACACACACACACACACACACACTCACAGACAATAAATGTGGAACCCATTTAGTGTTAGCCAGCTACTCCGGAGCTTGGGGCCTGCTCCGTAGTGTGGTTGATATACCCAGTGTCACTCTCTTGGAGAGAACTGATTGTCCCTCCCTGAGCAGCTATCAGCTGCAAATAGCTTCTTGGTCAGGGGTGGGCTTTGCCTGGATTTCCATTTCTCTGTGCTGGGATTTTGTCTGGTTTGGCTTGTACGTGTGATCGCAGTCTCTCTGAGTTCACATGTGCATCAGACCTGCTGTGTATGAAAAATAATTTCTCCTTGGAGTCATGCACCACCTCTGGCTCTTTTAATCTTTTCTTCTCTTCTGCATAGATCCCTAAGGTTTGATAAAGACACCCCATTCAGATCTGAGTGCTCCAGAGTCTTTCACTGTCTGGTTGTAGGTCTCTGCACTTATTACCATCTATTGTAAGAAGCAGCTTACTGGGCTGGAGAGATGGCTCAGTGATTGAGAGCAGTGGATGCTCTTCCAGAGGACCTGGGTTCGATTCCAGTACCACATGGTGGCTCACAAACATTTTTAATTCTAGTCTCAGAATACCCAGCATCTTTTCTGGCCTCTGAGGGTACCAGAACTGCACAAGGCGCACAGGCATTCAAGTAGGCAAAACGTGCATACACATAGACTAAAAATAAATACATCCTTAAAATTAAAAAGAAAAAGAAGCAGCTTCTCTGGTGAGGGTTGAGGTGATGCACTAATCTATGTGTATAGTAATATATCACTAGGAACAATTTTATTGCTATATTCATTTAGCAGAATAATAGTACTAGGTTTTCCTCTACGGGGGTGGTTCTCAACCTTCCCAAGGCTCAACCTTTCTAACGCTTTAGTATAGTTCCTTATGCTGTTACCCCCATCATAAAATTACTTTTATTGCTACTTCACAACTGTAATTTTGCTACTGTTATGAATTGTAATGTAAATCTCTGTGGTTTTTTTTTTGATGGTCTTTGGCAACCCCTGTGAAAAGGCCATTCAAATTCCGGGGGTTGCGGCCCACAGGTTGAGAATCATGGCTCTCGGGCAAGGCCTCTCATTATCAGTGTCAGATATGAGTTCCATCTTATGAAGTGGGTCTTAACCCCCCCACCCCAAAAAAGGGGCTGGGTTACTCCCGTAACATTTGTGCCAACATTGCATCAGAGGTATATCTTGCGGGCAGGTCATTATTGTAGCCTCCAGGCTTCATAGATGGGTAAGATTGATGAATGCATTTCTGCTCGGCTAGGGTGGATAGCGGCTTCCAACACTATGAATGCCAGCCAGTAGGGGTGAAGTTTCTAATTGAGCAATAGCTGGATTTTTCTGTGTTTTTAAGTATGTGTTGTCTAAATCAATAGGGTGTTACAACAGATTGTAAGCCAACATGCATGTGCTGGGAATCTAACCTAGGTCCTCCAGAAGGGTGGTCAGCGAGCACAACCACCGAGCCATCTCACCGTCCTGATTAGGAAGAGTTTTATATATAAAAAGCTCTTAACGACCATTTAGCATGTTCTGCCTCATTTCTGACTTACAGCCTTCACCCTGTTCTTATGTGTCACCTTAGGGGGGGCACTTTAAGGTGGTATAAATGATACGAGGAATGAGAAGGGAAGTTGTATCTCTACATATGAGGCACGGGACAGAGTTTCTAGGCATCTATCTCTGCCCAGGATATCTGGTACGTCATCTTAGAGCTGAGCATCCTGCATCTGGGATATCTGGTACAGTCATCTTAGAGCTGAGCATCCTGCATCCAGGATATCTGGTACAGTCATCTTAGAGCTGAGCATCCTGCATCCACTGAGTCTGTGTGGATCCATGGACAGGCTGTGTATGCACAGAACAAGAAATACCCATACCCATCACTGGTGTTGACATGCTTGTGCTTGCCTCTCTTCAGATGAGATCCTGCTGCAGGTCCTTTCTAACGACCCCATGTATTTATCAAAAGAGGACGCAAGAGCAGCTGATGAGCTAGTTACGTGGAGAGACGTGAATGAAAGCAAGTATATGCCTATGGATTAGAAGTTTGTGGGTTTTCATAGACTGTGTTGTACTAGATGTGCTTGCTGCGATCGGAACATTCTGGAAAACAGCTACTGATGGGGCATTGCCAGATTGAGAACGGAAGGACGAGAGTGTCTGAAACCCTTGCTGTAATTTCCATCGGCCATGGGGTCTGTGGTCTGCAGAGTCAGGCATGGGCTGCCATTCTGGATGCTGTTCAGGGGACATTGACTAATTTGCAAATAGAGTTCACTGTTCCCAGTAGTATAAACCCTGACTAGCATTAATGACATCCACTCAATGTGCCATAATTTCATGTACATGGATAATTTGGGGGGAGTACAGCATCTCCTCCATCCTTGACGACATAGTGAGTTTGAGGCCATCCTAGGCTACATGAACTCTTGTCTCAAAAAAATAAGAGGAAAATGCTGGAGAGATGGTTTGTGGGTAAGAGCGCTTGCTAGTCTTCTAGAAGACCTGAGTTCAGTTCCCAGCTACTACACCAGGTGGCTCACGACCACCTGTAACTCTAGCTCCTGGAGATCTGACTTCCTCTTCTGGCCTCCATGGGCACTGCACACATAGCATACACTTACACACATGCACACGCACATCCACATACAAATAAATAATTTATTAAAAAGCCCAAACCACCAGCCATAATAACAAGCAAAACAACAACAACAACAACAACAACAAAAACCCCTGTCTCAATCAGTACTCTATTGCTGTAAAGAGACACCATGACCATGGCAGTTCTTATAAAAAAGCATTTAATTGAGGTGGTTTATATTTTCAGAGGTTTAGTCCATTATTATCATGGTGGGACGCATGGTGGCATGCAGGCAGATGTGGTACAGAAGAAGTAGCTGAGAGTTCTACATATAGATCTGCAAGCAGCAGGAAGAACAGAGACACTGGGCCTGGCTTGGACTTTTGAAACCTCAGAGCCCACTCCCAGTGACACACCTCCTCCAACAAGGCCACACCTCCCAATCCTTCTCGAGTAGTGCCACTCCCTGATGACCAAGGATTCAAATAGATGAGCCTATGGGCACCATTCTTAATCAAAGCACCAAAACCAACCAACCAATGCAAAACCAGTAGTGAAAAAGATCTTGCTCAAGGCATGCCTTCAAAAATGATAAGAGGAACATGCCCTTTCCCTAACGCAGCTTGGTGCTGCTGGGAAGCAGTGTCATACCGGGAATCAACCCAGTAAGTAAGGAGAGAATCATCAGTGAGAAATCTGCCAGCAGTGACCCTGTGACCTTGGTGGCAGGGGAATGAGCATGCTGAGATGTTGCACATAGTTGTGAATCCCAGTTCATCAGGGTCATTTTCCAGGCCTGCCTGGGCTCGCCTGCTGTCAGTGGTCAGGTCCACGTGAGACCCTTCAGCTGCACATCTTCAAACACGTTAAACTCTACATTAGTGTCTGGATTTTTTAAAAATGTGAAACGAGGTATCTCAGTGGGTAAAGGTGTTTTTTGCTCCTCTTGAAATCTTAAGTTTGCGACCCAGGACCCCTATGGGGATAGGAAAGATCTGACATCTACTGGTTGCCCTCTGACCCCTGACCCTGCATGCATGCTGTGGCATGTGCACACCCCACCTCAACCACCCCCACATAGAATAGAATAGAATAAAAATAGTAAATAAAACAAAACATGGACCCAGATGCTTATAAGAGCACTGAAAAAATTTTCCTCTCTTTTTTCATGGTGTTTCATGAGAAGAAGTCTTGTTTCCGGGAATTCTCCTGAATCAGAACATTTTATTGGCACCGTGGGTAACTCCTGACAGTCATAAATGAAGATGAATACGATCTGAGTTGAAATAATTGTATAACAACGCATTTCATCTTGCTCATGTTTAGAACCAAGTAAGGGTGGGACAGGACTTTGCCAGGCCCCTGCCCTGCAGCGAAGCACGGCTGGAGGCTGGAGCAGGGCAAGCGTTCAATTCCTGCCTGGATACCAAGGATCTGGATACCAGGGATGTAGATACTGGGATGCCAGGAAGGCAAAGGGAAGAGCTGGCATTGACAGCTGACTCTTCCTCCTCATTATAAACCAGCGAGGTCCCTTCCTCCCCGCAGGGTAGTGGGGGCCATTTGGGGGCTGCACACATTCCTGAGGCTCCTCTGTCCTCCCGAGGGCTGTGGGAAAGTGCTCCAGCCAGCCTGTGAGCAAAGGCCCAGCTTACCTCTGTGGTTAGGGTAGCGGGAGCTGCCTTCAAGACAGGTCGAACAACTATGGCAGGAAGCCGAGGGAGCAGTCTTTCTTAAAAATTTGAGAGAATCAGCCTTATCTGGACTAATGAATATGTGTTTTTTCCTAGGTCAGGGTGTAGGCATGGGAATAGTGGTTCCCATACCCAACAGTGTGTCAGCCATGGGGAACAGGTTGGAGGGTGGGAGACCCTTACTAAAAGTCCTCATTCTTACCATCCACCAAGAACCTCTAAAAGTGGAGCCCAGGATTCTACGTGTTTCTATGCATTTGCACAGCCAGGGGCCACTTCCTGGAGATTAGAACCCTTGAGTTAGATGCTCTGGGGTAATTTATTCACCAACAAATACCCTTTAAAATGAGTATTTCTAATACCCTTGATTTTATTTCCTGTAAATATCCTATTAGTGATATGTTAAATATAATTGTACACCTCTTTGCTAACTGGACATACCTTGAGAGTCACAAGGAGGCAACTGCTTACTGGGGACTGGGCGTGGGCTAGAATGGCAGCTCTTGTTGCCTGTGTCTTCATTGCCACATCCAAGAAAAGATGATCAAATCTGGCACATGAAGCTTTTCATTAAAAACTTTAGACATAACTGGGCCAGTTCCCACAATCTGGCTACCAATTGTCTCTGTGCCACTTATTAGAAAGTCCATCTCTACTGTGGTCTGAGATGCCACCTTTATCATGGAGTAACTCCTGGCACTTGGGTATTCATCTCCTTGTGCAACATCAGCACACAGTTTTTTTTTTAAATAACCTATTTAACTTTTATTTTATGTGCACTGGTGTGAAGGTGTCAGATCCCCTAGAACTGGAGTGACAGACAGGTGTGAGCTGCCATGTGGATTCTGGGAATTGAACCCGGGTCCTCTGGGAGAGCAGCCAGTGCTCTTAACCACTGAGCCATCTCTCCAGCTCCACAACACACAGTTTTCATGAGAGGTCGAAACAGTTTATGTTTGAATGTCCTGCAGTTTCTGTCCCCTCCCCCCCAGTGGTTTTCTGACCAGTTTATATGATAGTTTTTCTGCATGAGCTTTACTGTCAGCCTGTCTAGCTTTACGAAAAGCCTTTAGTACTTTTCCCATTTTGGAAAAATCGATACTGAGTCACCCTAGGCTAGAGATGGGGACATCTTGACAAAATTTTAAGGTTGTCTTTGGCTTGTTTCAGTGTGTTCCATATCCATATCTATCTACATGTGTGTATGCATATATACATATATATGTGCATATACACACAAATATGTATATATATCTTGCCGAATTGTTACTTTTCTGTGTTGTTGCTATAAGTGGAGATTTCCCTATTATTCTGCACACTATTGAGTTAAGGTTTTGGTTGGACGGTAAACTGACCTACCTATGCACGATCATTTCATAGCCTTAGTACCTGCGCCCACTAAACTTTGCCAACTTGACACAAACTTGAGTCACGTGGGAAGAGGGAACTTCAAACTCCATCAGATTGGCTCATGGTCATGTCTGGTGGAGTGACGTTTTCTTGATTATGACTGATACAGCAGGACCTAGAGGGCTGAGCCAGACCCGGGCAGGTGGCCCTGGCTTGTATAAAAGGCAAGCCAGGAAGCAGCTTTGCTCTGTGGTCTCTGCCTCAGCTCTTGCCTCTGGGCTCCTGCCTTGGCTTCCCTTGATGAACTGTAAGTCCCAGAAACCCTGTTGTTCTCCAAGCTGCTCTCGATCACGATGTTTATAACAGCAGCAGAGAGGCAAACTGAGACAGGATCTTACTGGATTCTAGTCTATGGAATATAAATATATGTGTATACATAACACAACACCTACAGAGAGATACAGTTTTACTTCTTTACAAACTACAGAGTCTCTCACCCACTTATGTGTCCTGTTTAATTACATTGTTACTATCTCCAAGACAATCTTTATGAGTAGGGGAAATATAGTTACACTCTGTCTTGTGCCTCTCTCAGGGGGCAATGCCTCTGTTTCCCAATTGAGAAGTGGTTATGGGACTAATATAAGAAAGAGAGGATCTACCTATCTATCTACCTATCTATCATTAGTCTATCTATCTTCCTCTCTCTTTGAACACACACACATACACATATATTTACATACCAGAAATGAATTCTTCAATTTCTATTTGCTGCAGTAGGTTTGTTTTGGGGATTTTTGTATTTTTATGTATATGTTAAGAACTTGCTGTGTTCCATCTTACCCGATCCTATTGGTTGTCATTCTTGTAGTCCACACTGAAATGACAGTAAGATGGATCCCAGCACTATTCAGTACAGACCAGACTCGCTGCCCCCACGGAAGCATTAGTGGCATAGAAAAGTGCTGGATCAGAACACTGTTTTATGAATGGATGTGTGGGTGACTGGTACAATAATAATCACTACCATGGCAACAGTACCAACACAGTGAGCACTGTCTGGCAGCTGTTGGAGTTTTCTTCTGCTTTTACTCATCCCATCCCCACAGCAGTCCCACGTGGCAGGATTGTTACTGCTCCAGCATCCAGCAGGGGGCAGTGTTGGTTCACAAACCGAGGACGGCGGCGCTACCGGTTATGTCTACTTTGTGCTTAGTTTGTGCTTTGTTCGTCATCCAGAGCATCATTCCCCACGTGCTGTCTTTAGACAGGAACCCCAGTGCCCCCGGGGTGGGAAGCTCTGTCTCCAGTTCTCCTGCCTTTGGCTGAATGGGCCAACGATTGTTGTTGTTACTGAACAGCAATGAAGACCGTGTTTCCCCCTCTAAAGCATTC